CTACTCAATCTGCCTTTCTTTTTCATCTGAGGGGGAAAATGTTCCCCTTTTCTTTTTCTTTCTTTCCCTCCACATTCGAAACTTGGCCACAGTTAGAATGGAGAGAGAGAGAGAGAGAGAGAGAGAGAGAGAGAGAGAGAGAGAGAGAGAGAGAGAGAGAGAGATTTTTTTTCCAAAAGTTTCCAAACCTTTTATTCTCCTAAACTTTCCTGCCTTCCTTCTACCTACTTATCCCTCTGATGGGCTTTGATTAAAGTCACTTTCCAGTACACACACAGGAACAGACACAAACACAAAACAACAAATTGCTGTAGAATCCTCAAATCATATATAGTCGTTTTCTTTTTTTTTTTATCTTTCCCTTTATACTTTGGCAAAGTCCAATTAGTTATCATCTGGATCATCAGAAAAGGAACTATGTTGCTGACCACCTGTTTTTTGGACATCCCCATGGCTCACCAGTTCTTGCCTATTAAGGCTCACCACATCTTGCCATGAGGTGGAGGCTCACTACTTCTTGTCCACTTTTGAAAATTCACCAATCTTTCCCCCTTACGGGGGGGTGGGGGGGAGGCTTGGCTAGATCTTGCCTAGGCCTCACTAGTTCTTGCTTTCTGTAGAAAGCGCATCAATCTTGCCTTCTCACCTCACTAAGCTCAGCTTTGTTTCCCTTCCCTCGGTCACCCAGAGACTCACTAGTCCTTGCCCTCTTCACGGGGGCTCACCGATCTTGTCTTACCTGGGTCTGTGTGCACAAACTTACATGACTGATTCAAATTCTTTAAATTCTTCAGTGGGTGGTGGTCATTGTTCCCTTTCTGAGGTTTCTGCTTTCAGGTATCTGTCTTTCTTTGGGTCCATTCCTTAAAAGTGAAAGGAAACTCCTAAAGCATTTCTTGGATCCCTGGCAAGTGGCTGGCGGGCACCTGTCCTATGACTGGCTGAGAGGCCCTTCTCACATAAGGAAAGAAATCCAGAGACAAGCCCCCAACTGTGTGGGACAGAGACCACTTACTCAAAAATAAAAACAAAGACTTAGATACCTTGAAAGCAGAAAGGAGTTTATTGCTTTCTCATGAGAAAGGGTACTGCCCCTTGTCACACTACACCAGCCAGGAGAGTATGAGTTCGTTACAGAAATCAAGGCTTATTTATAACCTAACGCAAGCTCCTCCTCCCTAACCCCCTTCCCCTTATCCCACTGGCTGGGCTTTCAGGGGGTACAATCTATTCATGGAGACACAATTTTGCCCAGAGACAAGAAAAGGTGGGAAGTTTTGCAAGGGCAAGCAGTTCAGGTTGGGGGTAGGGCTATTCTTTCTGCTAAGTACTTAAAAACAGGGTCTGAGCGGGGGAGGTTTCTGAAAGCAGCAATCAAGAGCTATTAACAAGAACTAATGATCCTTTGAGGAGGCTTCACTTCTGAGAGACCATCTCTCACACTTCCAAACAAAGAGCTTTGCAATTAACACATATGTCTCTGTTCCATGACTGGTCTGTTTGCCTATACTCACTCTGGCTTTACTGGTATCCCCCTGTGCTATTGCCCACTGGATTCTGGCTGACTCTGTGCTATTTTGAAATGGAAGAAGTTACTTATAGCACAGTCTCATTGGATTTCTTAATCATTATTTGGTCTGGGATGAATTTCAGGTCTTGGTAGGATTAGGTATGTAGGGCTGGACAGCCTGCCCCCTTTGAAGAAGCCATCAAGGCCTGAAGACTAAATTACTGAATTTCCCTTAAGCATCACTCTGTTCACCTGTATAATGGCCATAATAATACTTCCACTCTGTATCTTACAAGGTTGTTGGGGAGTGACAATGGGGGCAGAATTCTTTGTAAACTTTAAAGCCCTCTAGAAATGGTAGGCATTGTTTTTATGATGTGACTTATGGCTCAGGGGTCCCCACCAGGGAATTCTGTTTTGCGCTCATAGCGACCTGAATATGTGGAATGAAAGTGATGATTGCCAAAGAGATTTTTCCCTTTGACTCTGCCTCCAACCAACAGTAAACTCCCAGGAAATCTCAAAGATGTGACTTCATAGGGCTCATGCCTAGGGGCTCCCCAGGTTGATAACAGTGTTGACTCCAGATTGTACAACATAGGTGTCAGATGCAGCTGGTGATTTCTTCCGAGTAACAAACATAAGATACAGAATAGTTAACACACACACAGTAACAGATAGTTAAAAGGAAAATTCTATATTCAGGTCTTTGCCCTAGTTAAAGAGGCAAAGCTCAGAAAAAGAAAATTTTAAAGGACTTTATTAAAAAATACCACAGCAGAAAGCACTGCTAGCCCAGGGCTCAAAGACATGATTGCTTTTATTTTTTTTACATGATTGCTTTTAAAAACAACTTTTTATAATAAGAGCAAGATAATCCTTATAGTAGTATCTCCAGAAGGGAATGGATCATTGTGTCTCAGCTCCTCCCCATTTGCCTCTTCAGGAGGAAATGAGATCAGAGGTAAGGGGGATATGATGAGAGCATAACCAAGCTCTGAGAGCCCCATGGTACCTGCTTCAGCCACCTTCAAGACTCTTGGAACAAATTGTTCTTGTTGGCTCATTCCCCCACAGGAAGTATTCACAGGCTTGGGGTAGACCCCCCCCAACTCACTGATGGGTTTGAGACCCCTCCGTTACCCTTAACCTGGTTTAGCCTATCTGCTGAGATGGCTTTACTGTGGTATAGCCAGTGTGCATGCTTTAGCTTCTTGGAGCTGCAGTTGAGAATTGGGTGGATCAGATGGACACTAACTGGAGAACAGTTGGAAATGGCTCTGCTCCCCCTTACCCCCCCCTCACCCCCACCTACCAGAGGTACTTGTCAACCATTTTGGAGAACAATTTGGAACTGTGCCCAAAGGGCTATAAAAATGTGCATACCCTTTGATCCAGCAATACCACTCCTAGGTCTGTATCCCAAACAGATCCTAAAAAAAGGAAAAGGACCCACAGGTACAAAAATATTTATAGCAGCTCTTTTTGTGGTGGAAAAGAATTGGAAATTGAGAGGATTCCCATCAATTGGGGAATGACTGAACAAGTTGTGGTATATGAATGTAATGGAATACTATTGTGCTATAAGAAATGATGAACAGGCAGACTTCAGAAAAACCTGGAAAGTATGGTCTGATGCTGAGTGAAGTGAGCAGCACCAGGAGATCGTTGTACACAGTAACAGCTGCGTTATGTGATGACTGATATTGATAGACTTAACCCTTCTCAGTAATACAAGGATCTAAGACATCTCCAAAGGCCTCATGTTGAAAAATGCTATCCACATACAAAGAAAAAACTGGAGTTTGAATGCAGATCAAAGCATAGTATTTGTTTTTTTTTCTTCTATTGTGTTTTATTTCCTCTTTCTGGTGGTTCCTCCTACTGATTCTAATTCTTACTCACAAGATCACTAATGTGAAAATATGTTTAATAGGAATGTATATGTATAGCCTATATCAGATTGCATGCCGTCTTGGGGAGGGAGTAGGGGAGGGAGGGGGAAAGGGACTGATGCTGAGTGAAGTGAGCAGAACCAGGAGAACATTGAACACAGTAACAGTAATATTGTATGATGATCAGCTGTAAGTAACTTTGCTATTCTCAGCAGTACAATGATCCAGCCAGTTCTAAAGGTCTCATGACAAAAAGTGCTGACCACCTCCAGAGAAAGAACTGATGGAGTCTAAATGCAGATCAAAGCACATGATTCTTCACTTATTTTTTACTTTCTTTCATTTCTTTCTTATCTTTGTTATTCACTATTCTTTATTTTTATATTTATTTATATTTATTTTTTGGTCTGTTTTCTTTCATAATGTGACAAATATTTAAATGTGGGGATTTTTTTGTTTGTTTGTTTGTTTTTTGTCTAGGCAATGGGGTTAAGCGACTTGCCCAGGGTCACACAGCTAGTAAATATTAGGTGTCTGAGGCTGGATTTGAACTCAGGTACTCCTGAATTCAGGGCCGGTGCTCTGTCCACTGTGCCACCTACCTGCCCCTAATGTGTAGATATGTTTAACATGATTGCACATATATAACCCATATCAAATTGCTTATCATCTCAGACAAGGGGGAGGGGAGGAAGGGAGAGAATTTGGAACTCAAAATTGAAAAGAAGAATGTTAACAATTGTTTTTTACATGTAACTGAGAAAAATAATAAAATGTAATTTTTGAAAAACATAACTCAGGAAAACAAAGAAAAGTTTAAAAGTCAAAAGCTTATGGAGGAGCAGCTAGGTGGCACAGTGGATAGAGCACCGGCCCTGAAGTCAGGAGGACCTGAGCTCAAATCTGGCCTCAGACCAAACACTTAACACTTACTAGCTGTGTGACCCTGGGCAAGTCACTTAACCCTAACTGCAAAAAAAAAAAGCTTATGGAAGTGATTGTTGATGAATCAAAATAAATTAATAAAAACAAAATGAGGTAGAGGAAAAAATGGCAAGCCACTCCAGCATCTTTGCCAAGAAAGGCCAAAATGGGGTCACAATGAATCAGACATGACTGAAAAACAACAAACAAGCATTTAAATAAATATTATAAAACATCTAAAATACACATAGTCCCTTTCTACCACTCAGTCACTCATCTTCAGTGATATCTGACTCTTCGGGACCCATTTGGGGTTTTCTTGTGAAACATATTTCAATAGTTTGTTATTTTCTTCTTCAGCTCACTTTACAGATGAGTAAACTGTGGCAAACAGGGTGAAGTGACTTGTCTAGGGTCTCACACAGTGAGTAAGTGTCTGAGGGTCAGATTTGAACTCAGGAAGATGAGTCTTCCTCTAGTTCACCCAGAAGCAGGTTGTCTCCAGGACAGGCAGGAGGATCCCTGCTGGTCCCTGCTACTTCTCCATCCATCTTTTTTTTTTTTTTTGGCTAGGCAATGGGGTTAAGTGACTTGCCCAGGGTCACACAGCTACTCCATCCATCTTCTTGATCTGGACACTATGGATACCACTTCTGTCAATAAAACAAAATCAATTGTTTTATAAGGGTTAGCAATAAATTTATTAAGTAAATGGAATGCCTTTGTAAATTAAAAAATAAGAACCATTAAAGATAAATTATTTTTTAACTAATACAATATGTTGAAAGCAAATAGAACTAATTTTCTAAAGGATAAGGGAATATATTTAGGATTTCTTTGGTCTGGGGAATTCTACATGAGGAATTTCCATTAGCGTTGCTGTTCTGTGCCCTGTCTGCTACATCTAATGTTGCAAAGCACTGAGAGGTAGGTGACTAGCCCAGGGTCACACATTCAAGTTATGTGAAAATAAAAACGGAAAAGGACCCATAAGAGCCAAATCAAAGAGATTAAAAAAGTGACATAACTAATAAAATGTTAAGAAAAAAATGTTGCCATTTCTTTCTCCAACTCATTTTGAGGAACTGAGGCAAGCAGGGATAAGTGAGCTGCCCAGGGTCACACAGCTACTCCAACCATCTTCTTGATCTGGACACTATGGATGCCACTTCTGTCAATAAAACAAAATCAACTGTTTTATAAGGGTTAGCAATAAATTCATTAAGTAAATTTAATGCCTTTATAAATTAAAAATAAGAACCATTAAAGATAAATTATTTTTTAACTAATACAATATGTTAAAAGCAAATACAACTGATTTTCTAAAGGATAAGGGAATGTACTTAGGATTTCATTGGTCCAGGGAATTCTGGAGGAGTAATTTCCATTAGCATTGCTGGTCTGTGCCCCCTCTGCTACATCTAGTGTTACAAAGCACTGAGAGGTATGTGACTAGCCCAGGGTCACACATTCAAGATATGTGAAAATAAAAATGGAAAAGGACCCATAAGAGCCAAATCAAAGAGATTAAAAAAGTGATACAACTAATAAAACGTTAAGAAAATACATTTTTAAAAAGAAATAAGTTGTTTTCTAAAACAAATGTGAAGTGAATTGTTTTTCAGTCTTTTTAGTCATGTCCAACACTTTGTGACCCCATTTGGAGTTTCTCAGAAAAGATACTGGAGTGCTTTGCCATTTCCTTCTCCAACTCATTTTGAGGAACTGAGGCAAGCAGGGTTAAGCAACTTGCCCAGGGTCACACAGATATTAATTGTCTGAGGTCAGATTTGAACTTAGGAAGACCACTAACTACCATGGAATTGAATTAAAAAGACCCAATTCAACTAGACAAATAACAATCTTACTGACATACTTCAGGGTAAAAAGTCTCACACTGGAAAGACAAAGCCTCAGGCAACAGGTGACAAACCAGGGGGACCTGAAGTCCCAACTTGAGTTCCAAGTAGGTATCCTACTGCCTTCTTTTGGGAAGTCCCAGCTATTGCCCCTTGGACTCAGGGCCTCAGTTTACCAGGCCAGGAGCATGGGGAGGAGGCTGCCTCATTTAGGACAGAGCAGCTGGAGCCAGGGAGGAAGTGACAGGGAGCAGGCTTGCTAGCAATCTGGGAAGAAGAGCTGGCACCTGGGACTAGGCTGCTTGAATTAAGCACATAAGGGAGATTCAGATGAGGGAAAGTCCAATCCACAGCTGGAAATCATTGATCCAAATTTTTATTCAAGGTGAAATGACTGGAGTCAGCCTGTGGATGGGCAGGCCTGGGGAAGGGACAGGGTCTGGAGCAATATGGCTGAGTAGTGGCCAAGGGCGTAAGGGACAGCAGCCTAGGACATTTAAGGATTGATCGGGGCTGGACCAAGTCCACATTCAGGGACTGAAAGGACCAGCTCTGGGAACAGGCTGCCTGGCCAAGGGCAGCCCCAGCAATCCCCATCCCTCCACCTGGGCCTAGAAAGTAACCCAGAAACCAGTTCTAGGATGGGGGTGTGTGGAGAATTAGGCTGAGGGGAGAACATGGCTAAGAGGTTTCTCCCCAAGAGTCCCTCCCCCTGACCCCCAATGGATAATCATCTTTGACCAACCAACATGTCACAGAGATTGCTCAGAACTTTCTCTGTCATCTCAGCAAAGCCCAGGTCCCTCAGCCAGGGCCAGACCAAGGGAGGGGCCCAAGTCCAGCAGATCAGGGATCCTCAGATCCCTCTCACAGCAACAATCAGAGGGTCTGGTGGGTGATGGAAGGAGTAAAGACATAAGGGCAGGGCCTTCTCTTACCTCTGCCTCTCTGGAGTTGTGTTTGACAGAAGAAATAAATCACGAAGACAGAACCAATGATGACCACCAAGAATACAACAACAAGGAATATGGCAAGTGTCTTCTGAGATGTGGGAAGATTCTCTGAAAAGAGGCCCCCAAACTCCATTACTTTGGGAATGAGAGGAGGAAAACCCTGGTACCTGATCCCTGTGGCCCAGGGTAGGGGTGGGAGCACTGAGGGCACCAGGATTCAGGAAATCCTGGGCAAGGATGGTGGCTTTGTGCCCAGCTGGTGTGGTCTTCCTCCCCTCCACCAGCCTCTAAACATCCCCCAAAAAAAACAAGCTTCCCCAGGACTTCAAAGAAGAGAATGGGAGAACTGGAAGAGAGCTTAGAGAAACTCTAGCCCAGCTGCCTCAGTTTACAGGAAGGAATATGGGAGAGAGAGGCCTTCCATCCTTCAGCTTGTAAGTCACAGAGCCAGGACTGAAGCCTGGGTCCTCTGACTCCCAATTCAGGCCTCTTCCTACCACCTCACAGCTGTGTCCTTTTAGATTCATAGACTTTCAGGGGATGATGGGCACTTAGGTCACATCTAGTCAACCTCATCATTAGACAGAGAAGAGAGCATAGAGAGGAAGAAACTTGTCCAAGGTGTTACATGGAGGTAATGACAGAAATAGGACTATGCCCCGGGTTTCCTGATTCCAGAGGATGCTACTCACTTCTGAAGTCCATTCTGGGTTTGGTTCTTACATCCCCATTAAGAAACTCTCTCTGGCTGTCAGCTGAGCAGCCTGGACTCCAGCAGCCATGGGGTCAGACCTCCACTAAACTGCCACATTGGTCCATTGCCCTCTCTGGACCTTGGTTTGACCATGTATAAAAGGAGGGGATTGGGGGCAGCAGTGTGATACAGGAGAGAAGAAACAGCCCCAGCCCTGGAAAATCAGAAGATCTGGTTTCAAATTGTGACTGTCACTTGATGGCTAATTGACTTTTGACAGGTCATTGGACATCAGTGTCTTCCTCTGTAAGACATTCTTCAATGACAAAATAATCTCCATCAGCATCTTTCCTCTATTTAAGTAACTTTCCCTCCCCACAACCTCCCAGGAGCCCAATCCTTCAATGTCTCCATAGTAACATGAACAATAGCGTAGAGAGAGAGCCCATGACACTGGACTGTTATGAGGACAATAGGGAGCCATGGAAGTCACTCGAGATATAAAATTTTCCTTACAAACTGCTTTTGCTGCATCCCATAAGTTTTGGTATGCTGTCTCATTATAGTCATTCTCTTGAGTGAAGTTATTGTTTCTATGATTTGTTGTTTGACCCATTCATTTTTTAGGATTAGATTATTCAGTTTCCAATTATTTTTTAGTCTATCTTTCCGTGACCCTTCAGTACATATGTTTTTTATTGCATCATGATCTGAAAAGGATGTATTTGATATTTCTATCTTTCTGCATTGGATTGTGAGGTTTTTATGCCCTAGTGCCTGATCAATTTTTGTGTATGTGCCGTGTGCCATCCTAGGAAAAACTATATTCCTTTCTATCCCTATTCAATTTTCTCCAGAGGTCTACCATACCTAACTTTTCTAATATTCTATCCACCTCCTTAATTTCCTTCTTGTTTATTTTGTGGTTAGATTTATCTAGCTCTGAAGGTTGAGGTCCCCCACTAGTATAATTTTGCTGTCTCTTTCTTCCTGTAACTTCCTGAACTTCTCCTCTAAGAATCTGGATGCTATAGTATTTGGTACATATATGTTTAGTAATGATATTACTTCATTGTCTATGGGGCCTTTTAGTAGGATGTAGTTTCCTTCCTTATCTGTTTTGGTAAGATCTATTTTTGCTTTTGCTTTGCCTGAAATCAGGATTTCTACCTCTGCTTTTTTTACTTCAGCTGAAGCAAAGTATATTCTACTCCAGCCTTTTACCTTTACTCTGTGTGTGTCACTGTGTTTCAAATGTGTTTCCTGTAAACAACATATTGTAGGATTATGGTTTTTAATCCATTCTGCTATCCACTTCCATTTTATGGGACAGTTCATCCTATTCATATCCATAGTCATGATTACTGTGTCTTTCTCTCCATCCTTCCCCCCCACCCCCATGTATGCATTTCTTTCTCCTTACTCCCTTTCCCTCTTCACTAGTGTTTTGCTTTTTACCACTGCCTCCCTCAGTTGGCCTTCCATTCTATTAGGGCCTTCCCTTTTCTTCCCCTTTACCCTTATTACTTCTTCTCTCACTTCTATCCTCCCTCCCTTTTCTTTCCCCTTTTCCCTCCTGCATTCTATACGGCAAGTTAGATTTCTATACGTAACTGATTACGTTATTCCTCCTTGAACCAAATCCCATGAGAGTAAGGTTCAAACAATGCTCATCCCTCTTCCTTCTTTCCCTCTACTGTAATAGGTTTTTGTGCCTTTACCTTTTTTTTAAATTTATTTTGATTTTTCAGTAATCACTTAGCTTAGGTAGAATTGTCATTTTTATTATATTAGCTCAGCCTACCCATGAGCAACTGATGTTTTTCCAATTATTTAGATCTGACTTCATTTGTGTGAAAAGTGTTTTGTAATTGTGTTCATAGAGTTCCTGGGTTTGTTTCAGGAGGTAGATTCCCAAATATTTTATAATGTCTACAGTGAGTTTGAATGGAATTTCAGTTTCTATCTCTTGCTGTTGGGCTTTGTTGGTAATATATAGAAATGCCAATGATTTATGTGGGTTTATTTTATAGCCTGCAACTTTGCTAAAGTTGTTTATTATTTCAAGTAGTTTTTTACTTGATTCTCTAGGATTCTCTAAGTATATCATCATGTCATCTGCAAAGAGTGATAGCTTTGTTTCTTCTTTGCCTATTCTAATGCCTTCAATTTCTTTTTCTTCTCTTATTGCTAAAGCTAAGGTTTCCAGTACAATATTGAATAACAGTGGTGATAATGGACATCCTTGTTTCACCCCGATATTATTGGAAATGCTTCTAGCCTGTCCCCATTACATATAATGCTTGCTGAAGGTTTTAGATAGATGCTATTTATTATTTTAAGGAAGACTCCATTTATACCTATGCTTTCTAGTGTTTTTAATAGGAATGGGTGTTGTATTTTATCAAAAGCTTTTTCTGCATCTATTGAGATGATCATGTGGTTTCTGTTGGTTTTGGTGTTGATATGCTCAATGATGCTGATAGTTTTCCTAATATTGAACCAACCCTGCATTCCTGGTATAAATCCTACCTGGTCATAGTGTATTATTCTTGTGATAAGTTGCTGCAATTTATTTGCTATATTTTGTTTAAAATTTTTGCATCTATATTCATTAGAGAAATTGGTCTATAATTTTCTTTCTCTATTTTGACTCTTCCTGGTTTAGGTATAACACCATATTTGTATCATAAAAAGAATTTGGTAAGACTCCTTCTTCACCTATTTTCCCAAATAGTCTATATAGTATTGGAATTAATTGTTCTTTAAATGTTTGACAGAATTGCATGTAAATCCATCTGGCCCTGGAGATTTTTTCCTAGGGAGTTCATCAATGGCTTGTTCAATTTCTTTTTCTGAGATGGGGTTATTTAAGTATTTTACTTCCTCTTCTGTTAATCTGGGCAATTTATATTTTTGTAAATATGTATCCATTTCACTAAGATTGTCAAATTTGTTGGCATATAGTTGGGCAAAATAATTCCTAATTATTGTTTTAATTTCCTCTTCCTTGGTGGTAGCTTCACCCTTTTCATTCTTGATACTAGTAATTTGGTTTTCTTCTTTCTTTTTTTTAATTAAATTAACCAAAGGTTTATCTATTTTATTGTTTTTTTCATAAAACCAGCTCTTAGTTTTATTTATTAGTTCAATAGTTTTCTTAATTTCAATTTTATTAATTTTTCCTTTGGTTTTCAATATTTCTAATTTGGTGTTTAGTTGAGGATTTTTAATTTGTTCTTTTTCTAGTTTTTTTAGTTGTATGCCCAATTCATTTATCTCTCTTTTTCTATTTTATTTATGTAAGCATTTAGAGATATAAAACTTCCCCTAAGAACTGCTTTGCTGCATCCCATAAGTTTTGGTATGTTGTCTCATTATTGTCATTCTCTTGAATGAAATTATTGATTGTTTCTATGATTTGTTGTTTGACCCAATCATTTTTTAGGATTAGATTATTTAGTTTCCAATTTTTTTTAGTCTATCTTTCCATGGCCCTTTATTACATATAATTTTTATTGCATCATGATCTGAAAAGGATGCATTTAATATTTCTGCCTTTCTGCATTGGATTGTGAGGTTTTTATGCCCTAGTACATGGTCAATTTTTGTGTATGTGCCATGTACTGAGAAAAAAGTATATTCCTTTCTATCCCCATTCAGTTTTCTCCAGAGGTCTATCATACCTAACTTTTCTAATGTTCTATTCACCTCCTTAACTTCTTTCTTGTTTATTTTGTGGTTAGATTTATCTAGTGCAGAGAGGGGAGGTTCAGGTCCCCCACTAGTATAGTTTTGCTGTCTATTTCTTCCTGTAACTCCCTGAACCTCTCTAAGAATTTGGATGCTATACCATTTGGTGCATATATGTTTAGTAATGATATTACTTCATTGTCTATGGTGCCTTTTAGCAGGATGTAGTTTCCTTCCTTATCTCTTTTGATTAGATCTATTTTTGCTTTTGCTTTGTCTGAGATCAGGATTGCTACCCCTGCTTTTTTTACTTCAGCTGAGCATAATATATTCTGCTCCAGCCTTTTACCTTTACCCTGTATGTGTCACTGTGTTTCAAATGTGTTTCCTGTAAACAACATATTGTAGGATTCTGCTATCCATTTCTGTTTTATGGGAGAAATCACCCCATTCACTTTCACAGTTGTGATTACTATCTGTGTCTTTTTCTCCATCCTTTTCCCCCATTTATGCTTTTCTTTCTCCTTTTTCCTTTCCCCCTTTCACTAGTGTTTTGCTTTTGACCACCACCTCCTTCAGTCCCTCCCCTTTTATTATCCCTTTCCCTTTTCTTCCCCTTTAGTCTTACTGCTTCTTCCCTCCCTTCTTTCCCCCCTCCCTTTTCTTTCCCCTTTTCCCTCCTACTGCCTATAGGGCAAGTTAGATTTCTATACCTAACTGATTATATTATGCCCTTCTTGAGCCAAATCTGATGAGAGTAAGGTTCAAACAATGCTCACCCCCCCCTTCTTTCCCTCTGCTGTAATAGGATTTTGTGTCTTTTCCTGTAATGTAATTTACCCTTGTCTGCCTCCTCCTTTCTCAGTACATTTTCTAAGATCAGATTGATCCACTTATTTGGATCCATTTAACCCACTTGATTAGATTTTTTTTTATCATTACATCAAAGTCAACTAATATCCACCCTCTTTATGTATACTCCTTTAAAATGGTGGAATAACAATACAGTTCTCAAGGGTTGCAAGTGTCATATTCCCTTGTAGGGTTTAAACAGCCCCCTTATTAACAACATATTGTATCTTTCTGTCCCATTTACCTTTTTAGTCCTTCTTGAGTCCTGTACTTGAAGATCAAATTTTTTGTTGAGCTCTGGTCTTTTTATCAGGAAAGTTTGGAAGTCTCCTATTTCTTGAATATCCACCTCCTCCCTTGAAAAATGATGCTCATTTTTGCTGGGTAATTGATCCTTGGCTGCATTCCAAGCTCCTTTGCCTTTGGAATATCATGTTCCATGCCCTGGTCTTTTAATGTAGAAGCTGCAAGGTCCTGTGTAATCCTGACTGTGGTTCCATGATATTTAAATTTTTCTTTCTGGCTGCTTGCAGCACCTTCTCTTTCATCTGGTAATTTTGGAATTTTGCTATTTATTTCTTATTGTCAATTTGGGATCTCTTTCAGGTGGTGATCAGTGGATTCTTTCTATGGTTATTTTCCCTTCTGGTTCTAGGACTTCAGGGCAGTTTTCCTTTATGATTTCCTGAAAGATACTGTCCAGGCTCTTTTTTCATCATGATTTTCAGGTAGTCCAATAATTTTTAAATTGTCTCTCCTGATCGATTTTCCAGGTCAGTTGTTTTACCAGTGTAGAATTTTACATTTTCATCTATTTTTTCATTTTTTTGTTTCTGTTTGACTGATTCTTGCTCTCTCATAGAGTCATTAGTTTCCATTTGTCCAATTCTAATTTGTAGGGGCAACTAGGTGGCACAGTGGATAGAGCACTGGCCCTGGGTTCAGGAGGACCTGAGTTCAAATCTGGCCTCAGACACATAACACTTACTAGCTGGGTGTCCCTGGGCAAGTCACTTAACCCCATTGCCTAGCAAAAACAAACAAACAAAGAACAATTCTAATTTTTAACAGGTTGTTTTCTCCTGTTAGTTTTTTTTATTTCCTTCTCCAGTTGGCCAATTGTATTTTTGAGGGATTTGTTTTCTTCAGTGTACTTTTTTTCCAATTGGCCAATTGTATTTTTTAAGGACTCTTCTACCTCTCTCATTTGACTTTTAATATCCTTCTTGAGCTCTTCTAATAAGGTTTTTTGGGCTTCAGACCAGTTCATACTCCCTTTTGATGTTGCAGATGTGGGTTTGTTGACAATGTTGTCCTCTTCAGAATTTCTTTCTTGACCTTCACTCTTCTCATAATATGAATCTATGGTACATTTCTTTTTACTTATGGTTTCTTTATTCCCTGGCCTTTAAAGAGATTGAGCTGTCCTGCTGGGGAACAGAGGGCACTGACCCAAGCTTCCTGTGTTGGGAGCTTAGGTCTTGCTCACTGGCTTTTTGTGCTGGGGCCTTTTATGTTGGCAATTGGAAGCTGTAGGCTTTTGGCAGCTTACCTCATGTTGGGCTGGAATCAGCAAGGCTGGAACTTTCAGGTAATTCTAGGTTGCCTGCTTTTCTTTTCCTTTAGTTTTCTTCCGCTCCTTTTAGATGGCTGCGGCAGGATGTTTATCTGCCTGGGGCCCCCTGCAGTGCTGCCTCCCTTAGATCTGCTGAGGCACTGGGAGGCTCCTTTGCTATAGAATGCCGAGGCACCTGGTGGTTTTCTGAGCTGATTTCCACTGGTTTCCCCACCCCCCACTGAGGCACTCTGAGGTCCAGGTGTTATTGTTTGCCTGCTGTACCATCTGGGCTTCAGGATCGCCTCCTGGTTGGCAGTTGGAGGCTGTAGGGTTCTGACAGCTTACCTGGTGTTGGGCTGGAATCAGCAAGGTTGGAACTTTAGTAGGACTCTAGGTTGCTTTCTTCAGCTCCTTTCAGATGAATGCTACAGGGCGTTTATCTGCCTGGGGCCCCTTGCAGTGTTGCCTCCCTTAGATCTGTTGAGGCACTGGGAAACCAGTTTGCTATAGAATGCCGAGTCACCGGGATCTCTTCCTGGTGTGCTAAAGTGAGTCTAGGCTACTGCTCTGCTCCTCCCCATCTTTCTTCTGGTTCAGCTGTTCCAGGGTTTTTTTTCTGGGGTGAAATTTTCTGGGTTTTCAGAGGTTGATAGAGGAGGGCAAGAGCAACTACCTTTTTACTCCACCATCTTGGCCTGTGCCTTTTCCTGCAACTGTAATTTACCCGTCTGCCCCCTCCTTTCCTTTTCTCTTAGTTAGATCAGATTAATCCACTTACTTAGATCCATTTAATCCACTTGATTAGATTTTTTTATCATTACATCAAAGTCAACTTATACCTACCCCCTCTACGTATACTCCTTTAAAATGGCATAATACAATACAGTTCTCAGGAGTTACAAGTGTCACCTTGCCTTGTATGGATGTAAACAGTTTGCCCTTATTAATGACATGTTGTTTTTTTCTCTCCCATTTACCTTTTTCTGTCTCTCTTGAGTCTTGCTTTTAAAAATCAAATTTTTTGGTTGAGCTCTGGTCTTTTTATCAGGAAGGCTTGGAAGTCTCCTATTTTGTTGAATATCCATCTCCTCCCCTGAAAGATCATGCTCATTTTCACTGGGTGGTTTCCTTGGTTGTAATGCAAGCTCCTTTGCCTTACAGAATATCATATTGCACACCCAATGATCTTTTAATGCAGAAGCTGCAAGGTCCTATGTAATCCTGACTATGGTTCCATGATATTTAAATTGTTTCTTTCTGGTTGCTTGCAGTATTTTCTCTTTGACTTGGTAATTTTGAATTTGGCTACTATATTCCTTGGCATTTTCAATTTGGGATGTCTTTCAAGAGGTGATCAGTAGATTCTTTCCATGGCTATTTTATCCTCTTTGAACTAAGCTATGTCCCAAATGATCTATCACTTCATTACAGAAGGAGCTCCAGATTAGTTTGATGAAGACTCTCCTGAAGAGGTTGAATTATTTGAAATCCCACTGCATATTTCCATTGGGTTGGAACCAATGACCATATTTTACGTAATTATGAATTCAATTAGAATGAACTGAAATGTATTAAATTGGAACAACTGAGGATCCAGGTATATTCATCAATGCATTAAGGGCCTATAACTTGGTCTGTGTTGGAACAGCTAGAAAGATCTTTTGTATTGATGTTGGCACAGAGAGTTTCAGTGACTTGCCCATAGTCACACGGAGAATAAGAGTCAGAGGCAACATTTGGGACCTGGTTCCTCCTACCTCCACATCCAGCACTCTACCAACTCTGCCACCCTCTCTTTCAGTCTGCTATACACTAATTATTTTTAATCAGATTAAGTATCATATCTCTCCAGCTCCATCAAGCCATGAGGCCAGCTCTTCTTCCCTTCTCTTCCCTACAGCCTCACCTAGTATGGGGCTGGGCACAGAGAAGGCATCTAAGAAACACTTGTCACTAGGCCAATGTGGAGGGAAGCCATGCAGATGACAGTCAAGAAGGTCTCAGACCCTTCATAGACAACTCAATGTATGGCTTTCGAGGGCCAGGTGAGGCCTGGCATTTTTGAAAGAGAGAATAAAATCATCCCCATTTTTGAGTTCCAGGGCAGAAGGTAGGCCTCCATCATCTTTTAGTGGGAAACACCAGCTCTGAAGGATCTGAGGGTGGGAAGAGAATTAAATCCATGAGTTAAGATTCACTTCCCAAAGTGAATTTGTCCCTTTCTCAAAGCCTGTGATTTCACCCAAGGAAGATCCAAACAATGGGTCAGGGAGAAGAAAACAGCCAGATCTGGAGTGAGAAGAGCCAGGTCTCATTCCCAGCCCAGATATTTCCAAATTGTATGATCTTGTTCAAAGCCCCTCCTCTCTCTGGGTCCCATTTTCCTTATTTGTTAAATGAGGGTGTTTTGACTCTTTAAAACCACTTCCCTCTCTAATACTCTGTGATTCAGAAGAAACCCATAAACCACACAGAACCTACCTGCTACCTGCAGTTCAATGTGGGCTTCATCATAATTGTCAGGTGACTGGACACGACAAGTGTATTGACCAGAGTCAGAGACCTGGACCTGCTGGATCCTCAAGGTCACCTTCCCCTCAGCCATGTCATGTTTCAGCAGCTCCATCCTCCCCTGGAACTCAGAGCCCTGGGATTCCTCCAGCTTCTTCCCAGTAGGGTACCTGTGTACAAGGGTGTGGTTTCTGAACCAGTTCACAGTCATGTCCTGAGCATCCATCTTAGGGTAGAGTTGACAGGAGAGTGTGACGTCTTCTCCTTGCTTGGCCTGAATGAGCTGAGCAAGGCCAGTCACTGAGAATGCTCCTTTCTGCAGTTCTAGGGACAAAGCAGAACAAAATCAGGGGACAATGTAGGCCCAGCATTAAGAGTGTTTGTTTGTGTGGTTGGGAGCCCCAGCAGATGAAGGTGTGACTTCTGGATCAGCTGCTGCTCTGCTGTGGGCCCACTTCTGGCAAATCACTTTGCTTCCTATGATCCCCTTGGAGACAAGACAGTTTCTCTCCTGACTGCTTCCTATGTCAGAAAGGGAGGGAAACTTTTTGGATGCTGGAGGGTGGGGGGTGGGGAGAGGAAGGCAAAAATTTGTCACCCATGGTCTCTAGGGAGGCTCTATACTAGCCTGTGCTCTGCCACTGCCCATGGGTAGCTTACAAGTGCAGAGGGAGCCCAGGCTCCTGGGCTGGTGTTTGCCTGGCCCTTATGTGATTATTGTCTGTGCAGCTGAGCTAGAAGGAGGGTGGGCCATAGAGCCAGGTGAGGGCTCCATGTGGAGGATTGGTTCAGCTCCCTGGGGAGGTGTGGAGTCTGGTCACCTGGAGAGATGGATAGGTCTGTCTCATATCCTTATTGGGTCTCCCCGGCTAGCACTGGGGAGGGTCTGACAGACTCATTCTTGCCAAGGAGTTATGACAGAAGATGGTTTCATATGCCAGTCCATACCAGAAATGTCTAGACTTTACCAGGACACTCCCAGAGTGTAATGAACAGAGAATCTATGAGAGCTGAGAGACTTGGCTTCTGGACCTGTTTCTGCCATCACCCTCCTATAAGATTCCAGGCAAGTCCTTCCCCCCCTTTCAGAATTCTCCTGGTCATTTTCCATCCTGATGCTGGGGGTCCATTATCTTCCACCAGCCCCAAACACTCTCCTTACTTTCCAAAATCTTGCTCTGAGCACTGTAACTGAATCAACACTAACCTTTGCCTCTGGGGAAAGTGTGTCAATGGACTGCTCTACTGTTCCACTACCCAAACTCCTCGAAGTGCAGCTCCCTTCCCTGGCCCCCACTCCTCTCTTCCTCTTGTCCCTCCTGTTGAAATGGAAGCTCCATGAGGGCAGGGACTACCTCAGTTTTGAATTTGTGTATTCAGTGCTTGGTATGTAGTATGTACTTAATAAATGTTTTCTTATATTTCTAGCTATTCAGGTAGCTAATTAGGTGTTTCGTTACCACTTGTTTATTCATTCATTCATTCTCTGAGCTTCCATTTTTTCCTTTGTAAAAGGAAATGAGTTTGATAAAATGTCCTCTAAGGTCCCTTCCAGTTTTAATTCTGTGGATGATTTCATAATTATTAAACTCTCCGCTGTAGTGCATATCCTTTCTCCTTTTTCCCTCACTTAATACTATTTCATTTTTTCCAATTATATGTAAAGTTACTTTTCAACATTCACTTTTATGAGATTTTGGGTTCCAATTTTCTTTCTCCTTCCCCTCCTCCCCTTCCCTTCACCAAGACAGCAAGCAATCTGATATAGGTTATACAAGTATAATCATATTAAACATACTTCCACATTAGTCAGGTTATGAAAGAAGAATCAGAACAAAAGGGAAAAACCATGAGAAAGAAAACACAAAAAAATGGAAAAAAAAAAAGAAAATAGTATGCTTAGATCTGCATTCAGGGTCCATAGTTCTTTCTCTAAATGTGGATAGCATTTTCCATCATGAATCTTTTAGAATTATCTTAGACAATTGTGTTGCTGAGAAGAGCTAAGTCTGTCAGAGTCAGTCATCCCACAGTGTTGCTGTTACTGTGTACAATGTTCTCTTGTTTCTGCTCACTTCACTCAGTATCTGTTCATTTAAGTCTTCCCAGGTTTTTCTGAAATCCACCTACTCATCAGTCCTTATAGAACAATAGTTTTCCATTACATTCATACACCACAACTTCTTCAGCTATTCTCCAATTTATAGCTATCCCCTCAATTTCCAATTTTTTGCCACCACAAAAAGAGCTGCTGTAAATGTTTTTGCTCATGTCAGTCCTTTTCCCTTTTTTAGGATCTTTTTGGGATGTAGACTTAGCAGTGGTATTGCTGGATCAAAGGGTATGTATGCACAGTTTTATAGCCCTTTGGGCATAGTTCTAAACTGCTCTCCAGAATGGTCAGATCAGTTCAAAACTCCACCAACAATACATTATTGTTCCACATTTCCCACGACTTCTCCAACATTATCATTTTTCTTTTCCGTCATATATGCAACCTGATTGGTGTGAGGTGGTACCTCAGAGCCATTTTAATTTGCATTTTTCTAATTACTAGTGATTCAGAGTATTTTTTCATCTGACTATAGATAGCTTTCATTTCTTCATCTGAAAACTGCCTGTTCATATCTTTGACCACTTATCAATTGGGGAAAGACTTGTATTCCTACAAATTTGACTCAGAAATGAAGTCTTTATCAGAGACAATGGCTATAAAAATTGTTTCCAGGGGCAGTTAGGTGGTGCAGTGGATAGAGCACTGGACCTGGAGTCAGGAGGAGCTAAGTTCAAATCCAGCTTCAGTCACATAACACTCACTGGTTTGTGACTCTGGGCAAGTCACTTAACCCCAATTGCCTCAAAAAAAAATTGTTTCCAAACTTTCTGCTTCTTTTCTAATCTTGGTTGCATTGGCTTTGTGCAAAAAAAAAAAATTTAATTTAACTTAATCAAAATTATCCATTTTACATTTCATAATATTCTCTATCTTTTGTTTGGTCATAAATTCTTCCCTCCTCCATAGATCTGACAGGTAAAATATTCTTTGCTCACCTAATTTGCCTTTGGTTTCACACTTTATATTTAAATTATGTATCCATTTTGACCTTATCTTGGTATATGTTGTGAGATGTTGGTCTATGCCTAGTTTCTGCCATAGTATTTTCCTGTTTTCCCAACAGTTTTTGTCAAATAGTGAGTTTTATCCCAGAAGCTGGAGTCTTTGGGATTACCAACAGTAGATTACTATAGTCATTGACTACTGTGTCTTGTGTACCTAATTTATTCCACTGATACACCATTCTATTTCTTAGCCAGTACCAAACACTTTTGATGATTGTCACTTTATAATAAAGTTTTAGATCTGGTGTGGCTAGGCCACCTTCCTTTGCATTTTTTCCCCTATTAATTCACTAGATATTCTTTACCTTTTGCTCTTCCAGATGAATTTTTTTGTTATTTTTTCTAGCTTTTTAAGTTTTTGGTAGTTTGCTTGGTATGGTACTGAATAAGTAAATTAATTTAGGTAGAATTGTCATTTTCATTTTATTAGCTCAGCCTACCCATGAGCAATTGATACCTTTCCAATTGTTTAGGTCTGACTTTATTTGTATGAAAAGTGTTCTGTAATTGTGTGCATATAGTTCCTTAGTTCCTGGGTTTTTCTTGGAAGGTAGACTCCCAAATATTTTTTACTGTCTATAGTTATTTTAAATGGAATTTCTTTATCTCTTGTTGCTGGGCTTTGATAACAATATATAGAAATGCCCCAGTGAGACAGACTTTTCTTCTCAACCTTCAAAGTTCTCTTGGGCCATAAAATTATTTCAACACATTCTTTGGTTGTCTCTGCCATCCAGAATTTATTTTGGGGTATTATTTTGAAGTTATTTGGAGGGGAATTTGGAAGAATTCAGTTGTTTCCCTACATTTACTTCACCATCATGCCCTTCTTTGTTCCTTTTAGATATGTGCTTCTAAGAACTGTAGGAGAACATGTCTCCATCACACCTGAGGCTCCAGATACCATCTTGTTGATTACCAGCTTATGTCCCTCTGAGTTAGAGGGACCAATAGTGATGGTGATGTAGCAGGATCTGAACCAAGGTTTGGGATGTGGAGGAGCCTTGAGTAATGGCATTTGCTTCTTTTCGTGCCTTTTTCCCTGTTTGTGCCTATTACTCCTACACACCAAACGTGGCTGAGCAAAAACCTGTCTATCTGTAAAATAGAGATAAATATATCACCATACCTGGGTGTTGTCCTTTATTCTCAAAGAGGACCAAAATGACACCACTATGCTAGAGTCCAGTTTCAGTGTGTTCAGCTGTGGCTAATAAGACCAACAGGAGCTCAGAATGTTCTACCACAGGTTGAACATAAATAGTCCATGTGAACATTTCGGGTGGATTCTCTATTATGCCTACACCACATTAGTAGTAGGAAGGAAATGATTATTACTTTAGTGACTACTAAGTCTCAGATACTGTGCTATTGGCTTTATAAATATTATCTTATTTGAACCTAACAACAACTCTGGGAGATAGGTGTTTTATTATACCTTTTTACAGTTGAGGAAACTGAGTCAAGCAGAGGTGAAAAGGTGTGCCCAGGGTCACAAAGCTAGTAACTATCTGAGGCTGTCCCAGAACTCAGATCTATCTTGACTCCAGTGGGCCACCTCTCTACCTCTTCCCCCTCTGGTAGTAGTAGTAGTCATTGTTATCCTCATAAACCTAAAGATACATCAGAAATTGTAGCTGGTATGATTCTCCAAATCATTCTGCCTAGGATTAGAGACTCCCCATCATTTGATACTCACAGTCACATAGATCTCTTAAACATTGGGAATCTCATTTATCTCACTTTTTAAAAATCATCCTCTTTCCCTCCAAACCCACGCTTCTTCCAAATGTCCCTTCTTCTGTTGAGGACACCACTGTTCTTCTCATTCATTGAGGGTCACAGCCTTGGTGTCCTCCTCACCTCCTTCCTGTCTTCTCCCACATAGGCAGGCTCTTGTCAATTCTGGAAGGTTCTGCCTCCACAATACTTCTCATTTCCTACCTCTCCTCCACTCAGGGAGCCTCCACCTCATTGTGCCCTCATCATCTCTCTTCTGGAATACCTGCCATAGCCTCTCACTGGTCTCATGTCAAGTCTCTCGCCTTCCCATCCACCCTACACTTAGCTGCCAAAGTGTTTTTCCTGGAGGGTAGGTCTGACTATGTTACTCCCTGCTCAAGAAACTTCTGTGGCTCCCTGGTACTTCTAGGATCAAATAGAAATGCCAACATCTTTAAAACACCCTCCGAACCTGGCCCCAA